CGACAAAAGTCGCGGCGACTTGCGCAACACACTGCAGCGACAGCGACTGACGTTAGGTCAAAGTTCACCCAGCACTCGCCACAGTGGTACATCACATGAACAAACGGCAAAAACTCATGCTGCTGCTTTTAAATAACACTAACACTAACACTAACAGGCTGCAAAAACTCTCTAGGTATAAGGATAAGATAATAAAGTAAAATATACGCCGCAAATTATCACACTATGTGTCTAGCTTGCCACAGCTTGCACGCTTTGGTTAGACTGGTTCGCGGCCCAATTGTTTGTGACATGCGGCGCAAGTTTAGCGCCGGAGACCAGACTACGTCTGCGCTAGCATTATGGGTTATTTATGACATAATCGTTATGTCACGTGCCGATGGAAACGGCTGCGATTGGCTATTTGTAAAGTGTCGCTTGCGACTGTCGCTGGAGAGTAGAAACGTTCCTAAATATTTTTGTCATCGAGGTTGTTGCCGGTCGCTGTCGCTGCAGTGTGTCTTGGCCTTTAGCCTCAATGGTCAGCGTACATAATGCATATTACTGATTGGCCCTATTTTAGCATAAACATTATTAGGAGTTCTTGCTGTTATAGGCTATAAACAGTAAATTAAGACAGCAACGTGCGCTGCTGTCTTCACATTTGTGATATGAGAATTCCCTGCTTAAAACCAGTTGCTAATAAATACTACAGTAAAACTCGCATAAGTCGACACTTTTGGGACCAGAATATATGTGTCGACTTACGAAAATGACGACTTAGGCGTAAGTCGTCATTTTGTCAACTTATACAATGTATGCGCGCGCGTGACTGTGCGTGTGTGCGTATGCAGGCCAATGTCATGCAGGCACGTGTGCGTATGTATCAGGGTTCTCCAAGAGCACTTATAGCCTGGCCAGGCTATCGTCGAGCCCCGCCATCCTAAATATCATAGCCGCCATGCTGGTGTATAGTGTATACACAAGAAGTTCAAACAATTAATGCACGTTGTTTATACGCAGAGGCTACGTGTACGGCAGCCGTATCTTAATGTCTCGAGGCTACGCCTACGGGTATGGCAGTCACACTACGCATCCGCTGCAGCCGTATCTTAATGTCTCAACAATAATGTTCATTTTCATACTTCAAATCCGAGTGTTTTCTAGCTCATCAAGAAATTTTAATCGTGAATTAAATCGTGAATTAATTTCCAACCGCATTATTACGGTGCAGGTAACCCAGTCTAGAACGAGGTAGAGTAGACCCTGAAAACAGCTTAAACAATGCATTGTACGCAATAAATATGTTACCAAGATAAAATATTTTTTATTTTTAAGCAACCACCTACAACACAATTTAAAAAAAAACACAATTTAAAAAAACACAATTTCATGTTTGTGTACATTGTATTTTTTGTACATAACACTAGGGTTAGAGCCCACAATAACAAAATACAAGCAGTGGACATAGCCAAAGGTAAATGGCAAGTCAGATCCAGTACAGTATTGTAAAGCTGTCGATAGTAAAACTACATAATACAAACGAGTAAAATGATATAAGAAGATTTACAGTGCCAGTCAGGGTTTGAATTTTGGCTGAAAATGTAGTGGACAGCAGGACCACCAACTTCAGAAAGTTGGTGGTCCTGCACAAAAGTTGGTGGTCTGCTTATTTACTAGCAGTGAGTAACAAAATAGTATACAAAAATAACCATTGGCATTAACAGCATACATGTAACTTAGAGTTGGTCAAATAATATATCTCAAGCTCTAGGAATGTCGGGGAGCTTGTGGGAAAGGTTTTACTTTCGTTTTTCTCCTCCCCAGTCCACGGTACCCCCATGATTAGATCAATGCTGCTGCACATCTGCAAAGTTACAAGTGCCTATAGAATCTTGATACAGTTTACATTGCTTCTAGATATCTAACTGAATAAAAATAGTCCACTTTCTACGTAAAGAAAAGTGACGAATTCAGTTAACAGCTTTGATTACGTGCGTGTCAGGTATCACTGGTCGTGCCCTCACTCCCTACTATCGTAGCCCTACTACGTCGTGCTACTACGTAGCTCTACGTAGTGCTACTACGTAGCGCTACTACGTAGTGCTACTACGTCGTACCCCTGCAACATATGAACTTATTGTTATGCGGTCATAAAAACACTGGGGTCATGCCGCAATCGATTTCTTGATTCAAATTTTTGAATTGTAGAAGCTCTGAGATGCAATCTGGGACACTCTGTGTGTAAATTTGAAGCACTGCACGTGGGGTGAAAATGTTTGTTTTGCATGGGCAAAACCATCGGAAAATTCAAAATAATTAATGGAATAACCGATAATTTCAGGTTACCGATTAATACTCCGACTCCAACACAATCGAATTTCAGCCGATTGTGTTGGAATGCACTTGAAATCGGTACGATTTGCTGACAAAAATCGATAGTGTAAACGCAGCATTAGGTGGGGCTATTCCAATGGATTTACTATGAGAGCGAATTGGGACTTTGACTTCCATGTCAACTTACGCGAATTGACGAATTAGACGATGTCGACTTATGCGAGTTTTACTGTATCTCCCAAATAAATCAGAAAACTGCATAAGTGTAGATTAAATGGGTCTCACCTAGTATTAGCGGACTATATTATATATAAACGTATCTGGTTTTCTGTTGGCCTGACTGTCTCTTCCTGTTTTCCTCGCTTTCTCACTTGTTCTGTCTCTTTTTCTGCTCCCTATATCTTCCTTTGTTTCCCCCTCTCCCTTGCTCTTCCTAGTTGTTTCCAGCTATCTTTCTCTCTCTCTCTCTCTCTCCTGTGTGTAATTTGAAAGCACTGCACGTGGGGGGGTGAAAAAATGTTTGGTGTTTGTCATGGAGCAAAGCCGAGGGGTATATGTTACTAACAGGGCAGGCCACCAGATACCGCAGTCCGCACAAAATTCAAAAGTCTTACATGGAGATAAACGCGATAATACCCAACGCGTTACGATTAATTACTTGCCACCACCAGATGATCAATCAACCTGCTCGCCACGCCTAGTCCTTGAACGTTTCTGGGCGAAGAGAAAAATCAAAAGAAAAAGTAAGCGCCGAGAACAAAGCAAAAAGACGAATCGGAAAATTTCAGCGCGATTGTGTTAGAATGCAACTTGAAAATCAGGTAAGGCGATTATGCTGACAAAAATCGATAGTAGGAAACGCAGCATTAGGTTGGGGAGTATTCCAATTAGGATAATTACTATGAGAGCGATTGGGAAGCTAAGTTGACTTCCCATGTACAACTTACGCGAATTACGAAATTAGAACGAATGGTAGACTTTATAATCAAGTTTTACCTGGCTATCGTGCGCACCAAAATGAAATCAGAAAACTGGCATAAAGTGTAGATTATAAATGGTCTCAAACCTAGTATGTAGCGACTATATTATTATATAAACAAATCTGGTTTTTTCTGTCCGGCCTAGACTAGTATCTTACCAAATGTTTTCCTCAGGCTTTCTCACTTGTTCTGTCTCTTTTTCTCTTTAGTGCTCCATCTCTTTTCATCTCTGTCCCCCTCTCTTTTGCCTTCTATGGCCCTGCCTTTCTCCTTCTTTTTTCTCCTGTCTTTGCGCCACAATAAATCTTCCTTTTCTGTTTCCCCCTCTCTCCATATGCTCTTCCTAAGTTGTTATCCAGCTAATCTTCTCTCTCTCTCTTTCCTCAAATCTCAAAAGTCTCTCAATCAACTCTCATACTCTCTCTCTTCTATCTCTCATCTCCACATCTTCACTCATCTCAGACAGTCTCATCTCTCACATCGATCTTCGATCGTCTCATCATATCCTTATCATCATCTCGCTTCTCCTACATCCTCTTTCTTCTCTTATTCTCTCTTTCTCAGCTCTATTCTCTTGTTTCTCTCAGTCGCTTGTTCTCTTTGACTTTCTCTCATACACACTCTCCGATCAGATCAGCAAATACGGCCAGCGAAAGATCAGAATCAATCAAAACAGCCATGCTCAATCTTCGTTGATCAGAATACTCGTCATCCTAGACACGCGCGAAGAGAGGAGCGAAAGAAGATAAAACGACGATCGCCACAAAAAGGTAGCAGTCGCGAGATAAGAAATAAACGCGAACATCAATCCGTCGTCACTCCTCATACGTCAGGATCAAAGCGTCTGCTCTCTCGGGTAGGCTCTCGAGCGACAGATCAATCTTGCGACAACACAGCTAACTAAGCGCTCACGAAAGGTTGTTTGATGAAGGTAACTTTGTCATGCACGCAAATACTTTTGTATCGTCCTCGTCCCGATCCTTCCGCCTCTCCATCTGGCCGTTTTTGTCCTTCGATGGCCCACTACCGGAACCAGCATCGGTCGAAATTGGGTGAGAAGGGAGCGTCGATCCGGGCGCTCTCGCCTCTCACCTCTCTCCCTCATCCTCTCCCTCCTCGCATCACCTCCTCTCTTTCTCGCTCTTCTCTCTCTCTCTCTCTGCTCTCTACTCCTCTTCCTCTCTTCTCTCTCTCTCTCATCTCTCTCTCTCTCGACTCTCTCCGTCTCTCTTCTCTCCTCTCTCTCTCCTCTCTCCTGCCTCTCGCGTCTCAGTCTCTCTGATGGTCTCCGATCTTCTCTCTCTCTCTCTCTCTCTGCGTGTGTGCATGCATGCGTCTGCATCTCACCCTCTCCTCCCATTCTTTCTGAACTGAGTGCATGTGTAGGTGCGTGTGAGTGCAGGTGCAAGTATATGATTGCATGTCCACATGTTCCCTGCTACCATACTAGTATCAATCACAAATGCTCTCATTCACCATTTACCCTTGGCCACACCGTGTGTGATAGATTCTTCTGTGTCTTCTGTGTGTGTGTGTGTTCTTCTGTGTGTGTGTCTTCTGTGTGTGTGTGTCTTCTATGATAGATAAGTCTAGATTAAAAATATTGATATTCCTGTCTTTTTTTTGTTTCAGTTCTTGACAGAGCTTTACAAAGCTTTTTCAAAAAAAGTCTAAAACATCAGGAGCAGGTCTGTTGCAATAACAAATGAAAAAGTGTATGTATATTTCCTAAAGAATACCATTTATTTTTTTATGGACCATATTTCACGGCATAAAAGACGTACATTTTTTTTATGGCTACAAAAATGGACCTGTTATCTTAATAGTCAGAAGTTGTGACTCCTAACAGGATAATGAATTTCCCAATTGGCCTACAGTAGACTACCGGTACCCCTGCCCAAACTACAGAATAGAAATTTAAATTATTTAATTAACATTATAATTATTATTATTATTATAGTTATTATTATTATTATCATCATCATCATCATCGCATCATCATCCATCATCATCATCATCATCATCACATGGTTATTTCTACTGTTAATTATTTAAAAAAAAGAAAAATATTGAAAAACTAGTACAAATCCAACTTCAAAGTTAAGAAGTAACTGTGTCTTAACGCTTGTATGTGTTA